TTGCAAAACACCCCGCGAAGTGTTGAGCAGCGCCCACAACAAATTTTTGATGCAACGCGTATTCCTGACGTGATTAAAATGATCCCAGGATACGATGGTGAAATCAAGGCTTTGCCATCTTGGATTGCCTCGGTCGACCAAAAATTAGAGTGTTCGAAGAAATTTGTACCAGATAGTGATACGCGCACCGTGCTACCTATCTGGACATCAATTATCGGAGACAAAATCACTGGTAAGGCCAATGAAGCCTTAATTAGCAACAATACTGAGTGCAAATGGGAAGCCATAAAGCACACATTAAAAGAAAGATTTGGCGATAAGCGAGATTTATCAACAATTTTGAGCAGGATACCTTACTTGAAGCAAGGTTATCTTAGCGTGGAAGATTTTTACTACAACTGCGATGGATTATTAGCAGATATTCGAGCTAAGGTTAGAAAAAAAGAAAAATGAACGTTACTAATTACCTTCTCATCTTTTTAGGTTTGGGATGCATCGGAAGACTTCAAAATAGCCTTACCAAGACGCCTCATCAACACCTCATTCTCCATCAAATTATACCCCACTAATCCTTTCTTTGAATTTTAGGTTGGAACATACCCTGGGAACTTAAGCTAACCTAGCTAAGACGCTCCTTCAACTCCTTAATCATTAACCACTATCCTTAGGTGTTGGAAAATGAACCCCATAATAACATTTTTGCTAATTATCACCCTTTCCAACACCACACCTCAATCCATAGAGATAAAAAGCCTAGATAAAAATCCAGGGCTCCTAACCTTAAGATTGGGAGAAGGCTTCATAAAGATAGGAAATCATAAAATATTTCACATAATAGACTATAAGAATTACGAATTAATGTTTGCAAAACTACCTGCTACCTTGAATGGTTTGAAAACTATTGGAAACTTCACAGATACCATTCACTTGCTCGAATCTAAGTACAATACCATGAAAAATTTGTATCATGATCTATTTCCCACAGTTAGACGCAAACGAGGTCTTGTTAACATTTTAGGATCAGCTATCAAACAAATCACAGGAAATTTAGATAATAATGACCTCATTCAAATTCAGACACTATTAGAAAACTAGAGCTCGATAATGAAATATTAGTCAATGAAAACAACGAACAGGCAAAAATTAATATCCAACTACAAAATCGGATAAACAGAGTCCTAAATGATTTAGAACGTCAACACAACCTTATAAGAAAAAACATAATTGTTCAACGATCGGAGCTAGGACGAAACAAAAGCATTCAAATAATTGAAGAAATTATAAAAATCAATCTTTATATCGATATCCTTAATTCACATTTAGAAACAATTTCAGAAGCCATTCAACTGGCAAGACTTGACATTATCTCAAAAAACATCCTCTCACCAGACGAGTTGCACTTCGCAATAAAACACTTAGAAGATCAGGGCATCTCTATTACTCACCCAGAACAAGCCTATCAATTTTTAGGACTTGAAGCATTTTATAATCAGAGCAGGGTTATTTTGGTTGTAACGATACCATTATTCAAAGCCCATAAATACGAAATATTGTTTTTGGAACCACTAATCGTAGGAAATAGAATCATCAAGCTGCCCGCAACCAAAATCATATTGAGCAAGGAGGAAACGTACTTCATAACCAGAAATTGTCAACAAATCCATAAGTACTACGTCTGCGGACTTGAAAATTTGTCAAATTCTACCCAAGATGGCTGTTTTTCTAGATTGTTAAGAGGCTCATCAGGAAATTGCGTATTTAAAGAAATAAGCCAACCACATGAAATCAAATCGATCATGAGCAACTACGTAATTTTGAAACAAATTAGCAATGGAACCATCTGGTCCACCTGCGGTATCACAAACCGAACACTGACAGGCACATTTCTAATTGAATATCATAACTGTACAGTGAAAATCAACAGCCTACAATTTTCAAACGATGAGATCGTAAAAACCGAATTACCCGACATAATTCCCTTGGATGGCCTGAATATTCAAGTAGACACCATAGAGTCAGAACCAGATTTCGAAAAGCTCAACATCGTAAACAGGCATCGTTTAGAATCGTTCACTAAAACGCAAAGATTCCACACATCCACCTCTATAACATTATCTAGTTTCAGCATACTAATTGGAATAGCAGTTTCGATCTACCTGATTTGGAAAAATAAGTCAAAAACTACCCAAGACCCCACCAGATTACATCCAAATACGAATCGGGACGATTCTTTTTCTAAGGAGGGTGTAGTTATGGACCACCCATCAGCAACCATCCCAACATCAAAAGACATCACCCATCGGTTGGACTCAATTCAACGAAACCAACAGCAAGTGGCCTTAGCATTGAATTCAATTGCGCGGCCATCATCTCCAGGCAAACTCAACGTCTCAGCGTAGTACGAATGGGGACGTCGACAACAACAACAACAACAACAACAACAATAGCAACATCATCAGTAACATGCTTCAGCCCATCGGCACCCCGATGACCACGAAAGCATGCACCAGCATATCACCAAGAACGCCAACTCAGCAGCAGCTACAGTGACGACGACGACCACCACATGGCAACAGCAACATCGATGCAACAAGACACCGCATGGTAGCAGGAGTAGACAGTACATAGATAATAATTAGATGTAAGCATTTTTGCAGGAATTGAAGCTCTTTTGTATTTCAAAGTAAATTCAAATTGACGCAATAAAAATCATTCCAGTTTTAGTCGTAGACGTGAGCAGTAGTTCTTTTTAAAAACACCCCGAAGTCCTTAGAAGACATAATTCGTGTATCTGACCTCCTGCTAGCGTTATGGTGTTTGGATTGGTGGCTTCCGATGGCAAAAAAATTGACCCGCTGTTCATTCCAGAAGGCGACAAGGTCAACATGAAGGTCTACATTGGGATAACACATATGCATGTTTTTTGGCGTGTCCTTAAACTTATAATCGGGAGTGTACGGATTTATAAATTTCTCCATTCAACTGAGCAAAAGAGCTTCACTCTCTGAGTTTGTCTCGTTGTCCGTGCACCCGTAAATACAGGGATTTTTTTTTGTTCTAGACCCCATCGATAAGAAATTTTGAAATGAGCCTAAAATGAAAGGGAGACTTTCCATGTTTTCCATCTGAGATATGTGTTACCTTTCATTTATCAGAGGTATATAAGTGGAACGACTCACCCCAATTTATGTATCCATAGATCTGCATGAAAATCTTCACCAGTAAAAGAAATCCAGAATATATTTGTCTTATCCACTTAGGCTGAGGTAAACTTTTATTTTATTTTATGATATTTGGTATACGAGAATTGCCCGCCAAGTTTTGAGAAATTTCTGAACTACTTTTCATCAGCCAAAAGATCTTTATCTCCTTAACAGCTCTAGCTGTTCAGGATCTCGAGATATTATATATGCGAAGATTTCACGTATATCCTAGCGCCGCCAAAAGACCTTGGTCTCCGGAACAACTTTGCCCAAAACAGTAACATTCTATGTGGTCAGGATCTCGTGATATTTTATATGTGAATATTTCACGTGTGTACTAACGCCGCTTAGGAAATTCTCAACTATTGTACACCAAGCAATAGGCTTTGACCTCCTGAACAACTTTGCCGAAGACAGTAACTTTCTATCTGGTCAGGATCTCGAAACAAACCACATGCGAGAATTTCACGTTTATACTAGCGCTACGTAGTGAGAAAGTGTTGAACTACTTTTCACCAGCGAAAAAGTTATGATTTCTTGAACAACTTTGTCGACCACAGTAACTTTCTATCTGATCAGAATCTCCAGATATTTTACATGCGAGAATTTTGCGTGTATACTAACGACACGTAGTGTGAAAATTCTGAACTATTGTGCACCAAGAAATAGACTGTTGGCACAAAATAAGAAGTTGGTCACCCTATCCTAATTTGTTTTACAGCTATACAACAATCAGCTCGTTTCCCATAGCACATAAGCACACTATCTCTGTTATCATACCCTAATATCACACTACACACAAACAATAGGCACTCTCTCTCATTTTCTCTCATCCACTACACGATCGCAAGCAGTAGGTAGGAGAAGATCACCGATTAGTATTCAGTAGTAATAAATCATCCGCGCGCGCAGAAGATACACTCTGTCCGTCTATCCAAAAACAAATTGGGAATAAACAGTGTCCGATATACCTCTTGACCGCAATAAAAGTGTTTTTATGTTTTACCAAACGTCGCGTGTGCAAAGTACCGAAATCCGAAGAAACTGTCCGTCCGGTGATACAGTCCACCCCAGTGTCGAACATTTTTGGTCCTTCGAACCGGATTTCGGGGACTTTTGGACTGAAAAGGTGACCAGTGATATGGACAATAAGACTCCCTGTGAAAAGACATTGTGAAAAGTAGCCATCGAAGCGGCTTAGTGCAGTGCAGTGACCTGTAACAATCATTCGCCGACCTCGATCACCACCATCGCTGGAGGCAGACAGCTGATTTGTTCCAGTCCAGCCATCTCTAAATCAGCTGATCGTAGCAGCAGCAAAGGAACAGCGGAAAGGACCGATAGGCGCCATCGGATAAACGGGGAAGTAATTGCATGTGTGAAAGGTTTGTTGGTGGACTCTTTGCATGTGAGTCAAATGGAATTGATGAATCAGTGCAATAAAAATTTGATGGTGCAAACTGAATAAATTGAATTTCTAAATGCATGCGAGTATTTTTCATCCCATACGGGAATTGTAGATATCCATTTAGCCTCTGTGTTTTCTATTACGGTTGGTCATAAAATTCTGCTGGTTTCTTTTCTCTGGTCTGTTTGGTTGGATCTTTGCTGTTGATGGTTTTGCTTTGCTCCCCCTGTCTCTGTCAACCGCGGGGTCGCGTGGGACGTCGAGTCGATAATTCGATTACGGGTACGGGTGCACAGTGGAGTGAATTACAGTGCAGTGTTAAATATTTCTGTGTGTGAACAGTTTGAACTTTTTGTGACATTGTAAGTGAACATTAACTATCAGTGGAAATGGCTAATGAATTGCGAGACTTGGTGAAACAAGAACGGAACATCTTGAAGACGATTGACTCAGTGAAATTGTTCGTTGAAGGATTCGATGTTGAAGTGCATAGTGTGCAAGTGGATATTCGGTTGGAGTGACTGGAAATTGCCTTCAAGGAACTCCACAACGTCCGTAGGAAGATCGAACTACTGACGGATGATGTTGACGACGATGAAGAAGATGCTGCAATGGATCCCAAGAAAGATGCAGAAAATGCGAGGATTATCATGGATGCTGAAGACAAGTACTGTACCCTCAAGGCCATTCTGATGAGTCTTCGACCGAAGCTGGTAGATCCTACGGCTAACACTCAACCAGTCGCACACGTTGCCGTTGCAGGATTATCACGTGTTAAGCTTCGCTTAAGAGTCGCTTAATCGTCTTATCAGCGAATTCGACAAAAACCTGCTGATGTTGGAGAAGGTAGGAGAAAAGACCAATGACTGAAGCACCATTCTGGTTCACATGGTGTGTTCTCGTTTGGACTAAGCAACGCTTCGAAACGTCAATTCGAAGGAGGTGCCGAAGTATGAAAACCTCATCCACTTCCTACGAGATCATTGCTCCGTGTTGCAGTCAGTCGCTCCTGCCAAATCTACGCCGATACCAGAGAAACGATCGAAGCCGTCCGTCAGCAACTCAGCAGTCAAATCATCGAACAAGTGTCCGTTTTGTGGGGACGGATTTCATTCCGCTTTTCGCTGCGTGAAATTTTTGAAGCTGAAGGTACATGAACGCAGTGATGCTGTGAAAAGAGGCAGACTCTGCTTGAACTGTCTATCGCCAGGACATCAGGCACGATTTTGCAGCAAGGGCGTGTGCCACCACTGTAATCAGAAGCATCACTCCCTGTTGCACCCAGAATCACAGCAGTCAAGCGCTATTAAAAATACATCCTCCGTCCCACAAGAGCAAAGTAGACCTCCAGCTGGTAATCAGCAACAACCACAGACACAAATACCAAACCAGAACCAACAAACACACGCTCACAGCGCTCACCAGTCTACAAGTTCTCTTCCCGTATTACACTCGCATAACACTGCACCACTGTCCACCACTAACCAACCATGCACAACCCAGAACACTATCGCGCTTCCAACCAATACACTATCCACACAAGATATTCTACTGTCCACCGCCATTGTGTGTGTTAAAGATAGTTACGGTAACTCACGACTAGCTCGAGCGTTACTAGATTCGTGCTCCCAATTCTGCTTCATGACGACGAACTTCTCCAGTAAACTGAAGCTTCGAGCTTCACCTGAACACCTATCAGTCCAAGGAATCGGTGGTTCAGTCGTCGTAGCGCGGAAGGTAGTTAAGGCAGCAGTTCTACCTCGCTCTCAGGAAATATCATCGTAACGTGAGGAGATGAATTTCTACGTTTTGCCGGAGTTAACGGTAACCTTGCCTGCACGAAGAATCAACGTGAACCACTAGACACTCCCGACTAACATCAGCTTCGCGGATCCCCAGTTCCACGAACCTGGTCGCATCGATCTGATAATCGGAGCAGAACACTACTTCAATCTGCTCTCTGACGGTCGTGAGAAGGTTGGAGATGAAGGCCCTACACTGCAACATACAGTCTTTGGATGGGTGGTTTCCGGTCGAGCAGCCGATCAACCAGGCACGATGCATCGCACATTGTCGTATTCGTGCACACTTGCAAACCTGCAAGAACAGTTGACGAAGTTCTGGGAGATAGAAACCTGTCGTTCCAGTAGTAGTCAATCGGTAGAGGAGACGGCGTGTGAAGTATTCTTCGATCAAACAACCACTCGTGATGATGCAGGCAGATTTATCGTCGCACTTCCAAAGCGTGAATTCATCATCAATCAGCTCGGCGAGTCCAGAAACATAGCGACAAGGAGATTTCTGGGCTTGGAGAGGCGGTTCCAGTTGAATCCAGAGTTGAAGGCAGCGTACGCAGATTTCATCCACGAGTACGAGCGACTTGGTCACATGGTGCAAGTTCCGGACGTCGAAAAGCAGTTTCCCGTGTACTATCTTCCCCACCATGCAGTTTTCAAACTGGATAGTACAACAACGAAGCTACGTGTCATTTTCGACGCGTCCTGTAAGACCAGCAGCGGTGTATCGCTCAACGATGCGCTAATGGTTGGACCTGTAGTTCAGGAGGATTTGATCACCATCACACTCCGATTCCGTTTGTTCCGCATTGCCATTGTAGCGGATGTGGAAAAAATGTATCGGATGATACTCATCTATCTACTCGACCGATGCCTACAGCGGATCGTCTACCGAGATTCCCCTGACGAACCGATCCGAACGTACGAGTTAGCAACTGTCACTTACGGGACTGCATCTGCACCATACTTGGCGACAGCGGACAACGTCGACGAAGCGAAGCAGCTGGCAAAGGAAATGATTTCGCTAACTTCATCAGGTGGATTCAACCTGCGAAAGTGGAACTCCAACTGCAAGGGATTGTTAGCCGAATTGCAATCCGATCTCATCGATGATCGTGCCACTTTAGAGCTTGATTCCTCAACTTCACCAGTGAAAACTTTGGGGTTACTGTGGGAGCCCCATTCAGACAATTTCCGATACCATTCTCCTAAGTGGGACAACGAAGCAGTGCTCACGAAACGCGTCGTTCTCGCAGAAGCAGCTCGCCTGTTCGATCCGTTAGGATTGATGGGTCCAGTTGTCGTCATTGCCAAGATATTTCTCCAAGAATTGTGGAAGCAGCAGTGCGGTTGGGATGATCCACTGCCCCAAGCGATGCAAAACTTTTGGCAGGAGTATAGGATGAATTTGACAGCCCTCTCGTCGTTTTCAATTCCTCGGTGGATAGGATACACATCTGATGCAATTTCGGTCGAGTTGCACGGTTTCTGTGACGCATCAGACAAGGCATACGGTGCAAGCCTCTACATGCGTTGTACACTGTCGGATGGCTCAGTAGAAGTTCGGCTGCTGATTTACAAATCGAGAGTAGCACCACTGGAGGATCTCAAGCGCAACAAGAAGAAGTTAACCACCCCTCGCCTCGAGTTGTCATCCGCACTGCTCCTCAGTCATCTGTACGAGAAGGTCAAGCACAGCATTCGTATTCCGCACACCGCAAGCTTCTGGACAGACTCGACAATCGTAATGCATTGGTTATCTTCGCTGCCATCGAGGTGGCAGATGTTCGTAGCGAATCGCGTGTCCGAGATTCAGCACATTACGAAGGGTTTCAATTGGAATCATGTCGCTGGCTTGGAGAACCCTGCTGACATCGTGTCACGAGGAATGATACCAGCTCAGCTTCAGTACAGCACGATTTGGTTTGAAGGTCCTCCATGGCTGCGTCGAGACCGCAGCACCTGGCCGGCGGGAAGTCCTGAGGAAGATTTCGAGCAATCATTGCTAGAAGAGCGAAGTGCAGTCGCAATTCCAGCACAGTCCAAGCCACACAGCGACATCTTTTCAATTCATTCCTCTCTATCTACGCTGATCCGTAAAGTTGCATGGATTCGTCGCTTCATCCACAACTGTCACCATCGCGAAGAAAGACGCAATAGGTATCTCAGTCACGCTGAACTCCAAGAAACTATGCTATCACTTATCCGTTTGTCTCAGAGGGAATCGTTTCTGGAGGAGATTTCTGCACTCCAGAGCGGAAATCAAGTCAAGCCGTCGTCATCGATCAACAGACTCACACCAATTTTCGTTGACGGGGTACTGTACGTAGGTGGTCGGCTATCCAAGGCACCTATTCCAGCGAGTCGCAAGCATCCAGCGATTCTCAGCTATCATCATCCCCTGAGCAAACTAGTAGTCATACACTACCACCAGAAATTGTTCCACGCTAGGCAACAGCTTCTCATAAGTAGAGTACGGGAGAAGTACTGGCCCACGCAGATCAGAAGATTAGCCAACACCGTAATCAACGAATGCGTGCCGTGCTTCCGATGCAGACCGAAAGTGTTGGATCAGCTGATGGCAGATATGCCGTCGGAACGAGTTACACCCGCGCCACCGTTCCTGAAAGTTGGTGTCGATTACTGTGAACCTTTTCTGGTTGCCTATCCCAATCGTCGAACAACTCCACGTAAATATTTCGTCGCAATCTTCGTCTGCTTGGTCACGAAGGCTGTTCATCTGGAGCTGGTGGGAGATTTAACAAGCGAAGCCTTCCTCGCAGCATTCAAGCGTTTCGTCGCACGAAGAGGCAAACCAACCCTGGTAATGTGTGACAACGCTCTCAACTTCGTCGGAGCAAGGCGCAAACTCGACGAACTACACGAACTATTCCGTAACCAGCAGTTCCAGCAGTCGATCGTAAATGAAGCTGAAGAAGACGAGATAGAATTTCGATTCATCCCAGCACGTTCGCCCAATTTCGGTGGCCTTTGGGAAGCTGCCGTAAAATCCTTCAAAAGCCACTTCAAACGCACTATCGGATCCAGAACGTTATTGCACGATGAAATGCAAACGGTGGTAGTTCAAGTGGAAGCGATCCTCAACTCCCGTCCGTTGACGCCGATCAGCAATGACCCAACGGATTTCGAAGCATTGACGCCTGGTCATTTTCTGGTTCAGCGACCGCTAACAGCTGTTCCAGAACCGGACCTCAGTCACATCCCGGAGAATCGTCTTTCACTGTTGCAAAAATCGCAAGACTTCGTGCAGCAGATATGGAAGAAATGGTCCACGCAATACCTGTCCGATCTCCATAACCGAACCAAGTGGACTCGTCGACGCAATAACATCTCCGTTGATACAATGGTTGTCGTGAAGGAGGACAATATTCCAACGATGAAATGGAAGTTGGGTCGAGTAGTAAAAGTTCACGCGGGTACCGATGCGAATATCCGTGTAGTGACCGTGAGAACGAAGGACGGTCTTTTCCGGAGAGCTATCTCGAAGATTTGCGTCCTTCCCATTCGGGACAATCAAGCTGTGTCCACTTCTGAGGAGAATTGAAACTCCTTCGCGTCAGCGCTTTGGTGCGCTTCCGTTCACTATTCGAACAACTCGGGATCCACAAACCAGTTCAACCAGTCCAGTTATCAGTAATGTCGTCCAGTCAGTCAAGCATGTTAAACGTCCATAATGATGTCCTGTCCAGTCCTGAAATAAATATCAGTATCGTCCTGTAAAGCCTCGCACAACCGTGTCAGCATCTGTCAGTATGTCCAAAACCAGTTACTGTCCAAAATCATTCTGTCGTCGTAGAAGTAGAGAATCGGTGTGTACAACCAATCCAACGAAGGGAGCAATCCATGATACTATCCCTCTCAGCGCAACATCCAATACCATCAACGGGTTTGGCCAATCCGTACCGGTAGTTCTTCAACGCTGAAGTTGATGTCGTCACACCATTCTGCTTCCATTCTAATGGCATAGAGTATCACGATGATCAACGAGGATCGTCGTCATTGGCGCTGTAGGCGCTCGCGGAGGCCCGGAGGCCTCCGCGTCAGGCAAGTTAATTTGTATTTCTGTAATTCAGTTGAAAAAGGCCCCTCTCATATTGTAGGGCAATCAGGCACTCGTGGAGGCCAGGAGGCTCCCGAGTCAGGAATCGTGGACATCCCGACATTCCGAAGTCATCCGTTCCGTGTCATACCCCAAGACGCAACAACATCAGTCGCTGGTAGTTAAGCCAGAAAGCAAGGAATCAAGATTCGTGGAATCAACCGGAGATGAACAAAGTGGTGCTCCTCCGATCGGACGGGTCGGAAGCGTCACTCCTAGGATTCATTCATCAAATAACCGAAGCAATCGAAATCTAGAACGACCGAAGAAGGGAAGCAGGCGACAGAGCAGTTTTCCTAGGTAAATAATAATGGTATATGTCCTACCGTAGCCAGGACTAGGAAATACTGCACCCTAATTGATTTCTCCAACACTTCCATGGTATGTGGTATGATGTCAGCAACAGCATCCGAGCGCATCATCAGCAGTGACGCCAGAGCCTACGAAGCCAAGTGAGATGCGGACGGAATCCAGTAGTTAAAAAAAAAGGGGATCGTGAAAAATTTATGTTAGATATAGTGATTAGTGTAGATTTAGTTAGGAACAGTAGGAGTCATTTGTCGAAATTAACATTTCAAGGTGGCCGGTATGTTGGCACAAAATAAGAAGTTGGTCACCCTATCCTAATTTGTCCGTCCGGTGATACAGTCCACCCCAGTGTCGAACAAGACATTGACCTCATAAACAACTTTTTCAAAGACAGTAATTTTCTACCTTTTCAGGATCTCGAGCTATAGCATACACGAGAATTGTACACGTTTACTAGCGCAACGTGGTGAGAAAATTCTGGGCTACTATTCACCAACAAAAAGATCTCGAACAAGTTTGTCCAAAACAGTAACTTTCTATCTGATCAGGATCTCGAGTTATTGTATATGCGAGAATCGCATATGTATACTAGCACCGCGTAGTGAGAAAATTCTGAACAACTATCCATCAACGAAAAGATCTTGACTTCCTGAACAACTTTGCCAGAGACATTTACTCTCTATCTGGTCAGGATGTATCACAACTTAACATGTATACGAGCGCTACCTAGTGAGAAGATTCTGAACAACCAGCAACAAGTTTATGATCTCCTGAACAGCTTTGCCGTAGACAGTAATTTTCTACCTGGTCTGGATCTCGAGATATTAAATATGAGAATTTCACGTGTACACTAGGGCCACGTAGTGAGAAAATTTTGAACTACTGTCCACCTGCGAAAAGGCTTTGACCTCCTGAACACCTATGCCGAAGACAGTACCTTTCTATCTGGTTGGGAACTTGAGCTATAGTATATGCGAAAATTGCACGTATATACTAGCGCCACGTAGTGAAAATTTTCTGAACTACTCTCCACCAGCAAAGAGGTTATGATATCTAGAACAACTTTGCCGTAGACATTAATTTTCTATCTGGCCAGGATCTCGAGATTTTCCATATTGTAACCAATTAAGTCAAATCCCACGTAGTATGGTCACAGTCTACGCTGTTTCCATTTACATTTTCTCTATTATCCGCATTGTTTGGGGGTTAACTGTAACAAAAGTTTGGCTTGTTTAGTTAAAAACAAGGTTTTTAAGGAATACTAAAACTCACCCTGTTGAACAAAGTACAACGCGCGAGTACTCGTGTTACAAAAGTTGGCGCGAGTAACCGAGGATGCCAATAAAGGAAAGAGGTATAATTTCAGCACCCATCACAGCATGCATTAATAAATTAACAATTAATTTAGTTGAATCAGGATAAGTTCGATAGAACAGAAGATTATAGAAGTAGGCTGACTGCATCCATTATAAAAATTTATGAACATACTTGTGGCCGTAAGCATTCGTAGTCTTCTGGTAGTGGTTGAAGTAAAATTCTGCTAGCTATTCTAGACTTTTTTGAGCGATTCGAAAATAATAAAACGGTTCTCAAAAGTAAACCGCTGCCGCAGTAAAATGGTTCACGCCGCCAAATAAATGTATGTCACGCCAATGAAAATTCCGTAACATCTTTTCGGTAAAATGCATCTTGAACGCGATGAAATAAGAACTTGTGTGCACGCTCGTTCGTGGCTACTAAAAATTGCGTGAAAAACCACTCTATTTAATTGAAAGCAGATCTACTCTAAATTAAGTAACAAAGCCAGAACTAAATTTTGACTAAAAATGGCTAGGTATTTGTTGATGAGTTATTTCTACTCATTTCCATAAATTCAAAATAGCAGCAGAGATGCTTAAAGCTGACTCCATGCTATCAGCTCAAATCATCAACTATTCTGTAATATCTAGGACACCGCGACATTTCCGGCCGACTGGATGTAGGGCGTCTTAGTGAAGGTCTCAAAGAAGGGGAATCTGCCTGTGTGCGACAATTGGTGAGACATCATGTTACTGTGTATTGTTCTCAAAGTTCAGTGGAAAGTTATCCTGACGCGATTCTCTGGCGGCAGCAGGCAGGATTCTGTACAGGAAGATCTTGTGCGGACCTATTGTCGCGCTCCGCATTATCTTGGAGTAGGTCAATGAATTCCAAGAGTCCCTTTATTTGGTATTCATTGACTACGAATCTGTGGGGCGCCCTGAGACGCAAGGGAGTCCCGGATAAAATCGTCAACCTCATCGAAGCGCATTATCAGGCTTTCACGTGCAAAGTTCTGCATAACAGAGCCTTGTCTGACCCTATACGGGTAGTCGCTGGTGTGAGATAAGGATGTATATTATCACCGCTACTGTTCCTCATCGTAATCGATGAGATCATGGTGGGTGCAATTTACCGTGTACCGAATCGTGGGCTGTTTTGGCAGCCTATTATCATGGAGCATCTCAACGACTTCGATTTGGCTGATGATGTTGCTCTACTAGCACAATGGCGCTTTGATATGCAGAGTAAGCTCAATGACCTAGCCGAACGATCCTCTGCGGCGGGTCTCATCATCAACGTCAACAAGACCAAATCGTTGGATGTCAAAACGGGCAACCCTTCCAACTTTACGGTAGCGGGGCAAGCAGTGAAGAAGGTCGAAAGTTTCCAATATCTTGGCAGCCAAATAGCGTCGGACGGCGGGACCAAGAGCGACATAGTTGCACGAATCAAGAAGGCTAGGGCTTCCTTTGCGAGTTTACGAAACGTATGGAGATCAAACCATATAAGTCAATGCACCAAAATCCGATTTTTCAACTCGAACGTGAAATCTGTGTTGTTATACGCCAGCGAGACGTGGTGTGTATCAGCGAAGAACACTCAGAAGCTACATGTCTGCATTAACCGATGTCTGCGGTATATAATTCGTTCCTGGTGGCCTCAGAACTGGATCTCGAATGCCGAGCTCCATCCTCGATGTCATCTGAAGCCGATAGCAACATAAATTCGAGGTGGGTCGGCCACACACTTCGACAGGGCGGAAACGAAATCTGAAGGCAAGCGCTGGAGCAGCCGCCCAGGATGGAAGTCTTTCGCGTTGGCCCTTTGCACCTCCGCTGGTATACATGACCCTTAAGTAAGTATCCTTGGTTGGCAGCCTTGGTTCGCAAGGTATCGTGTGTGCTCACCACCAGCACGCCAAGTGAACGAGTTTTTAACATAGCTGGGCTGACCGTATCTGCACGTCGGTCAGGCATCCACTCTAACAATGTGAAAAATATAGTTTTGCAGTAAGCAGTGGCTGTTACGTAATGCAACAGATTGCTTTTATAAACTATATCACCCCTACATAACGTAGTGGTAGTAAAATTTACGTTTATTTTCTGTTTTTATGTTTCAACATTTGGTTTAACATTTCAATTGATTAGCCTTTGGCTCTTCATCTTTGTTCTAGTTAATTGGTTATTCTAATGTGGGATTTATGGGATTGTTTTGGTTTGAATTAAAAAAATTGATAACCTACTTACTTGAGCACAGGAACCTGCCTAACTACTTAAACTAGGTTGCCAAATCACAAATGATCTGGTGGTTTGATCGCAGACCGGCGACTCTGAACCTTTCCAGCGTGGAAGTCTTTCGCTCCTCGAGTGTTTGAAGACCGGCCAGGTGGTGAATCTCAAAATGGGGAGTTCGCGGTGGACTGTTAAGGATCATTCTGAGGATCTTGTTTTGGATCCTCTGAAGCTTTAGTTGGTGGCACTTAGCACAACTCTCCCAGATTGGCATACCATACTCAATAGCCGCCAGAATGATCTGCATGTGGACAGCAAGATTGTTTTTGAGGGACAATACTTGCCAGAACGCGAGAAGGTGGTGACACTTCCACGGCGCAACGCGACAGCACAAAACGAAACAAAATCGAATCGAGAACTCGAGCGACAATACGGGCTGAACAGCTCGACAGTCGAGCAAAGAATTATGCCTACATAACGTACTTTTCTTATACTTAATAATAGGGTTGTAACACTTTGCCATATGACTCCACCCCCTGCAATTATAACAAGCACTTGACATACCTTTCTAAACAAATTCCACATGCACGGCCAATGAAAACG